CGGTGTCCGCGCAAATAAAAATAAAAAAACCGTATTGAGAGTTTTAACAAAAACTTTTTTCCCTTAATGCGCAATGCGTCCAGAGGTGTATTACGATTGTCACCTTGACTGATTAAACCACGCGATGAAGCCGTACCCATGCAGGCCACAGATGCATGAGGAGGGGGACATTGGGGGGTACCCAATACCGCAATACCGTAAGAAAAAATGGCAAATACCGAAATACCGCGTCTAAAATCGTCTAAATACCGATACCGCATATTTAAACCACATTTATAACCGGTTCCGCATACTTATGGTTGCTTCCATCCAGCACGTTTAATTATCTCAGGCATTTATGCACCAGATGTCCATGTTTTTTTTTTTGATATTTTGGTAGTTCGCAAATTTTTCGCAAATTTTCACTGGAAAGTAAACTACATTCGTTCAACCTTTTGGTAGGTCGACCCAACAGCTAATTAATTCCAATAAAAATAACTCTTGAAAGCGCGAAAAACAAACCAACCAAAGCCCTTTCCACGCACGTCTAGTGCAAGTTTTGATAAGTGAGTCTAGTCTACCAAGTCAGTCTCTCAGGGGTCAACTATCTCGACTGTCTCACACGCCGCGCCGGTAAGAGGCAAACCTACCAAATTTTCTTTTTTAACTTTACAAGGCGTTTTTCAATTCTCAAAACCCAAGATCTAAACTTATTCTTGTTGCGAAAATGTTCGCCTCCTTCACTCTCTTCATAAAAATTGCCACACAGTCAATGATGACCACGCCGTCTTCAACCTCAGCGACCTCAACCATTGTGAGAAAACCTGTAAGACCTCGAATTACTGGCACAGGTACACAGATTGAAAAGCCTGGTAAGGTAACTTGAGACGACTCATTATCATTGGATGCAACAACAATCACATTGTATCTTTAATATTGACCATTAACTTTCACAAAATGACCCACAAATGGTGCAATCATTTACCGTTATGTCTCAAGACTTCTAAATATTAACTTTTATTGACCTTTATGTCCTACTGTGTTTTGGTTTTGCGTATTGTATCACAGGCGGCCCAAGCTCAGTGTGTGAGTTTAGTTTCCACCAAACTCGGGGTTAAAGGAAATCGCTTAAATCGCAATGGATCGGAAAAATAACCACACAGCAAACAAAAACAAGCAAAGTAAATACGGTAAGCTGTATTTTATTGAACATTATAGCGAGTATTTATCGATTTGAATCTTTTACCTGAATTCCCATACAAATCCTTTATATTCACGGCCATTTTAAATTACGCAATACGAAACTACATGTGTTAACGATTAAACTCACACACTGAGCTTGGGCCGCCTGTGATTGTATCGAAAGGAAAGCGCATATAAACGGTACCGTAATACCGTGAAAAATCTTATTTCACCGAATACCGTCAGCCAAAATAATGAAAAACCGCATACCGCAGAGCTAGATGATACCGCAATACCGCACGTTAAAATTAAAATTACCGAAATACCGCATGAAAAAAAGCCCAATACCGCAATACCGTAAACCCCCATGTCCCCCTCCATGAGCTCGGTGGATCAACAAAGTCATACGGGGATGCTCTGCCCAAAGGTCTCACTCCTTTTCACCATTTTTTGACAGAAAAGGTACCCCTCTCGTTTATCTCCTATTGCCGACAAATGGTACCCGCTTCACATACGTGACAAGGGAGGATAGCTGACCTAGGTTAGAACTCTGCATCCCTTTAAATTGCTGTAAATGCACCATCTTTGATATATGAATAAGTTACAAAGCCAAAAACTTTTGGCGACTTTTTCACGGGTAATAAAATGCTTCTGTTTGTCCTTTTTTAGCCTTTTTACAGACCAAGGTGACAATTTTTCCTTTCCTTATCATATCCTTAAACTAGTAAATCCCTTCCCTTTTATATACCTGAAACCTGAAAAAGGTACGCCTTTCGGGCGGAGCCTCCCCGTTTAGGCAAATAAAGGGAGTATCTACTCCCGGGCAGATGAGATTGTAAACAGATGATATTGTCAGCTCATTAAAACAAAAGTTTCCATAAACGTTCTAACATTTCCAATTTAATAACAACTGTTGTCGTTTCAAAAAGGGGCCCTATTCTATAAAATGACAATAATTCTCCGGGATAAGGCAGTCGCCGTTAGTTTTAAAAAGAAATTCAGTGAGACAGAACATGACTACTTGCACAGTTGTAAATAGTCGACCACATAAGCAAAGAAGAAAATTACCAGCAGTGCAGTAATATGAAAAAAGCAAGTTTCTCAGTTCGACAAAAACTTGGATTTGGGAATTCAAGCTTAAAAACCGTTTTCATTGATGAATAGAAATCGAATGCTCTAACTAAAGCTGGGTTATTTTACCAGCTACATTTGACAACACTGCTGGGAGGGGCAAAACTTCGGCGTAACTTCCACCGAATTTCGTTGAACTGGGCCCAGTTGTTCAAAGGCCCATCAGCGCTTAACCCCGGGGTTAAATTTAACCCGGGTTCAGTTCTCTTTCTTGTGTTCAAAAGCATTTTCTCAGATAATTTTCTGTGTTATTTTTAGAGCTTCGAATCATCATCAACTTGTAGACAAAAACAATTAAAACTGAACTGCTTTTTAAGTTTTCAAATCTGAATTCAAATCTAGCACTAACCCTGGGTTATCTGAACCCAGTTTTGAACAACTCGGCCCTGGCCAAGACTGAGCTAAGTTTGAAGCGAGGCTGCAATGGATCATGGCACTAGCACGCAGGCCCATCACGACGGACTCCTTTCCTGCGTTTAGGTTAAGAATAAAAATATGTAGTTGGAATAGTTTATGGCTTTGTGGTTTGTTCGCGAGCCCTGAACTTCGCTGTAACTGGTCACAACAGACAAAACACCATAAACAATCCTGAAACATTTGAGGAGTTTACGTTTTTTTATTTTGATTAATGCCGTAGCTGAGATTTAGTGTCAAAATACTCAATATTCAGTATACCCCTTGAAATTGAAAATGACTACAAATTATTGTACCTTTACTTAAATGCGACGATAAGACTTATATTTGCTGCAACATTATTACCAGTTTTAATTAGTAATTTTCTTTGTTTGTCTAGTCCCAGTACTTGCTTCTTTTGCTCTCCAGCATGGCGGCTTTGTACCACGTGAAAGGCTATTTGCAAAGGGCCTAATCCATTGTCTTCTTTTGTTTACTTTGTTTAACTCTTGCTATTTTGCACTTTATGTTATTATGTTTCATGGTTCAAGTAAAATCACTCTACCCTTCAAATTTGTTTATTATGAGACTATATCTAACCTTTTCCATTTAGTTTATTTGTCCTTTCACATACCTATTACAGAATCATATAAGATAATATTATACCTGGGTAGGAGCTCTAAGCGAACCCTTTGGGCTTTACGAGGAGACACCCTGACCAAGTTTAAAAGAATGAGTTTATTTTTAAGATTAAAAAAATGGATACAGCCGTCATATATATGGATATGACTGTGTTGTTACGAGGATTATAGTACTTAAAGAATTAACTAAGACTAATTTGTGTAAGTACGTTTGTATAGTGAAATTCTAATTTTCTTGTTTGAGAAGAAAATGAGTTTTAATTTTAATTTTTTTCCTGAATAAATTGATGAAAATAATCGGTACCTTTCAAGATTCTAAATCTATTCCATAAAACCATCAGTTGTAATACAACAAAGAGCATCTACGTTAGGAAATGTTTTATATATATCCTATCCGATCCGAATTGAAATTATATAGACTGATAACTATATTTATAGGTCCACCCTAATTAAAAGAGCAAAATCAGTCAAAAAGTATGTATCATAAATTATGCGTTGCTGTTGCTTAATGTGGTAGCTTCTAAAAGAGTCGTTTTCTAACAGAAGCGTTGGTTTAACCAACCTTCAAAACTTGTACAAGTTGTACCTGCAACAATTTTCCGCTCGATGCTCTTAATGAGGTGCAGCTTGACTCAAGAATACTTTTAAAGTATTATTTCAGTACCACTGGTACACAACCTGCTCGAAAGTCTTATCACCCCTGGTTGCTGTGCACTAACTTACAATCAGTTTCTCTTCTTGTTACTACTAATATGTTTATTTTCTTCTTTTGTCTACATAATGTGCAATATGTGATCTATGGAAACAGTGCGAATAAACAATGAATTGAATTGGTATGAGTTGCACCACTTGAATCTACAAATGTCCAGCGCTGGCCACAAGATCCATACTTTTCTAATTCACTCTTAGTTCTACACTTCTCCACGGTGTGGAACCCTACTTTTCTTTTCTCATCCCAAGTTCTACACTTGTAAAAGGACTAAGTAAGGAATGACAAGGGGTTCATGTCTAGGGGGAAAGTGTGACAATATCCTGACTTTGTCAGACTTTTCCACACTTCCACACCTCTGAGAAGTGTCGAACTATGTAAAGAATGACGAGGGGTTCGTGCGACTAGGCGAAAAGTGGGCCATTACAGTCACTTTGTCAGACTATTCACTACCGCCTCAGCGCCTCCACAACTCTGAGAAGTGTGGAACTAAGCAAGGAGGGAAAAAACTCTGGATTTCATGGTCAGGGCTGGACATGGCTATCTTTAAAAGTCTTAACAGTCTCATTTCCAGATATTTTCTCGTTATGAAAATTTGAAAAGATAGCATGACTGACACAGACAGGGATCAGGAGAAAGCGACCGATATCTCGAGCGCTTACCATTCATGGAAAATCCGGTAATTCCGGGGAGAATGCAAATGGAACTGTTCATACCGGTGGACATTTTCCACCGAAAAAAAGCAACACCTCTCGAGGTATTACCTTTTTCACGTTTTTACCGAAACGACCGAAATTTTTGGTACCATTTGTCTGGTTAACCAGCGCCAGGCTTCATCTTGAGGAGGAAGGTGAAAAATGGCGGTCTTTCCCAGGAGGGTTATGGTGTTTTGCATACGGTACAACTCTAACCCATTACTCTTTTCAGAAACGTTTTTAAGTCAAGAGACATTTGTCGGAAATTTTTTACCGAAATTTCTTTGAAAATGGTAAGGGCCGTTTGTCGATCTTCTTCGGTAAACCACTCGTGCCTGGTACGTCATTCTCAGTCGAAAGCGATACACACTCTGACGTATACTTATGTTTTTGCCTTGGCGTCGATACTCTTCTCGTGCCCCTTCCGTGGTACCCAGTCAAAAGCGATTGTCTGTAATTTCTGGTGTTCACCTCGGTTTTTGGCCTTGGCATTGTCCTTAGAGGTTCCCCTACAGTTTCCTCGAAAAGAGCATATGACCCTAGAGTTCCTTCTAGAACAGCTAATGACGTTGGAGACCCCTGTACAGCAAATGGCCCTAGAGGTTCCTCTAGAACAGCAAATGGCCCTGGAGGTTCTTCTAGAACAGCAAATGGCCTTGGAGGTTCCTCTACAGCAAATGGCCCTGGAGGTTCTTCTAGAACAGCAAATGGCTTTAGAGGTTCTTGTAGAACAGTAATTGGGTGCACAGGTTTTCCTAGATCAGCAAATGGCTTTAGAGGTTCTTGTAGAAGAGTAATTGGGTGCACAGGTTTTCCTAGATCAGCATATAACCTTGGAGGTTCTACTAGTACAGAAAAAGGGCTGCCGTTGATGTGGGCACCTCGCAAGCACACGGACAATGTCAATTTACCATACAACTTGTCGACAGTATATTCTGCCAAGTAAGTTCCATCCTTTCGGTCGTTTAACTCTACCTTTATATCATCTCCTCCCACCTCTGGTTTCAGTTTCACCTCAAAAACGTCGCCAGCAACCTTGCGTTGAACGTTTTGGCTGTCGCGAGAAGTAATAGTGAATGTCACCTTCCTTCCTGGGTTTGCGGTTGCTATTCCCAGGCCAGTTGCAGTAGTGTTTGCTGCACAGGTTGAATTATCGTTGATTGCGCCTGCGTTCTGGATGACTTCCTCTATACTCTTGTTGGTGCGGGTCTTTATAGGCAAGAAAGAGTTAGAGATCACTGCATTGAGTTTACCTATTTTACATTCTCTACAAATTCAATTTAATAATAAACGATTTCCTTATCTCATGCATATATACATCTTTCGCTTGATAGTCTGTTTCTTAGCCGTCTTATCAATTAACTTTGAGTTGCGACAACCACATTATTTTCAAATAACTGTTGATAGGATCCTGATCCCACATTCTCGCTCCTTTTCCACGAGAATCCCGCATTCTGGACTTCACGCGATCTCATCTCCATTCCGAATATCATTTTCTTTCCATATCCCGTACAGTGCCCACATTTTGGCGCATCCCTCGTCCCAGTAGCAGTTAAATCCCGTATTCCTTTAACTGTTCTCGAATTCCGCTCCGAATTTTGGTCGAATTCCGGATACCGCGGATGCCTTTCCTGAATCTATATTGAATGAGTTCGTAGAGAAATATATTTGTGAACAGAGAAATGCATTTTGACGTGGGTCTGTACTATACTGGATCATGGACAACGACCAATCGCTGTGTGCATATGGCCTGCATTGCAGCAGGCCCAAGCATCGTCTTAATAAAATAAATATCCTAAATACGGCTTGAAAACATAACAAGGACAGGAAAAAAAAACTAATCAACGGATGACATGCAACTGCTATGTCAAGAATATCTGCTAGACTTCTTATCCCGGAGAAAAAAATTGGCACCCGACAAAAGCCGTCCCAGGCTAATTCATGGATACCGTAATGATTCGATTTAGCGCCATCCTTCCGATAAGCGCCCCCTTTCGAATAAGCGCACCCCTTCTAATGTGTTTTTGTTAATAAGCGCCCCTGTCCCATTTAGCGCCCCCATTCCAGTAAGCGCCCCCATTCTAATAACCGCTCCCATTCTGCTACGCGACCCTATTCTAATAATTATTATCAGAAACTCATAAGGGGTTGAAACGTGTAACTCTCATATGTTTGCTTTGTCCGATGCTCGTGATTATTCATTTTCGAAGGTACCATATTTGGAACGAGAAGAAGAGATAACTGACCAATCAAACTTCGTAAACAACGTGACGTAGTTTTCCTTCAGGTTCCCGTACCTGCTTAAAAATATGGCCGACAAACGAGGGAAAAATGAAAACACTATCTGGATCGTGGATCCGTTCACGCAACTAACATCGGCTAAGCACATGGCAAAATTCAACACAAAATCCATCTCAAATCAGGGCACATTTTGTGAATTTTCCTTTAGCGCTGAAGAGAAAAATTTATAAAACGTCTATGAAACATTTAAAAATAGATAAATTCCCTTTCAAAAACGTAATTGTCTTGGCCATTGATTTCGAAATGTACCTGAAAATTCAGCAAAAAACTTCGCTGACTTGGTTGCATTTCAAAACAGACCATAGGCTCCGCCGTGAAGAAAACAAGGTTGAATTCCTCGAAGGACGATTTCTTGATGAAAAGCTTCCCTTTCTCCACAAAAAGAAAGCTGAGCATTCTTTTGAACTTTCTCTTTCCATTTTTTGTCTCTTAACGGTGTATTTTTAACCTTGAAATGCAGAACTCTTGTCTTAAAACATCTGCATGGTGATCGCGCAGCAGCCATTTTGTTGAAAAGATTTCCAACTATGGTCAAAATGAATATTCACAAGCGTCGAACGCGAGTTACACGTTTCAACCCCTTATGGGTTTCTGTTATTATAATATTCGAGTACGGATACTTTCAACCGAGGTTCACCTTCCTTTAATTGCCCACAAACGAACGTTAATGCTGCATTACAAAAAAAGTGGTCTTCATCTGAGTTTCTCAACTATTATGTCCATGTGAGTGCATAAATTCTTCAAACGAATGATATCTTCTTCTCTGGCTGGTCGTTGTGGCGAGGAAGGATCCAGGGATAAGTCCGTTACATTGAGCAATTATTTTATTTCCACGCGACAATTAAGGATCCTTTCGACGGGATCAACGAATTGGACGTCAAAGATACCGCAACGGGAAGCTTTTATTTTACGGTATTGATGTAAGTGACACTGTCAAAGCTATCAGCGTAGAAATAGATTAAAATTCCCTCACGTTAACTGAACATTCGACGTATATTTGTTACTATTACAGTTTCTGTTATTGTTCCTTTTTTGATAAATATTAAAGTTTTGTTTCGAACATTCGGTTGTTTCTCAAAAAAGAAATAAGCGCCCTGTCCCGAATAAGCGCCTTGTCTAACCAAGGGTGAGTGCGAAATTTGAACTCAGACATGAGGGCTTAAAAAGCAAATTCAGTTAAATTCTCTTTGCCTACAATTTGATGATTGGATACTCTAAAAAGAATACTGTTAGAGAAAAGTATCCGAGATAGTGCTTTTGATAAAAAGAAAAAAAAACAGGTTAAAATTTAACCCTGGTTAGCGCTAACCGGCGTTCGAACAACTGGGCCTCTGGCGCTAAATCGAATCATCACTGTAACTAAAATCACAACGTTTAAATTCTCACCATCGTGTTCCAGCTTTCTTCCTTGGTGAACTCCGGCAAAAACTGTGCTTCTGGCTCAAGCACCATTGAGTAGCTTTCTTCGGTCTCGAGCATGGACACTATATCCGGCCTGCTGAGAAGGAACTGAACATCGCTCGGAGATTGGATGGAGGACTTTGCCCGTTGAACTACACTCTCTAAAAATGTTTGGTTTACTCGCAAACGGCCAAGCTGCTCCGTGAGGATGGATTTCTTTTGTTGATGTATACTGGACAACTTATCCATCAAAACTTGCTCTCGGTTAGATAGTGCGGAATGAAGCTATAAATATGCAAAAGAAAACACACACTCTGTAATATCCGCGGATCTATTCCACACAAACAATCCAGATAAAAAACGGTTGATAGGTGCGTCCCGAGGTGCGTAGTCTGTGTGCAAAGGAAATTGGAGACGTTTGCACGCAGGCTACGAAGAAGTCTTTAACGCGGAAGTTCTTCGGAAGGGCTTACGTCTGTGTGGGAGGCTAGCTACATGTACGAGGTGAGTTCAGTGAATACGTTCAATAATCATGATCCGGGAGCGGCCTACCCTTAAATAGCTACAACCAGTTGCAAAAGTACTTGAGACACTGTACCGTATTTTGGCATAAATTGCCGGTCCATGATCTTCTGCTTGTGATCCCCTCTTCACCCCTTATCAAAGTTGCTAGCAATACAAGACCAGGCTCAAAACTTGGAGGAACAACTTTGAATGGGAGGGAGGAGGGAGGTCAGTATTATATCTCGCAGACCTGTGACCAGGAGCGATTTGAAGCAAGAAAGGTCGTTTTTTCGTGGGAGAGTCTCAACATTTTTGCAACTGGTTGTAGTTCATTGGCCTTAGTTCAGAATAACTATTAACAAATCACTGGTCTCTGCATTCCATGCTGAGATTATTTTGTTTCTTTATCTAATTGTTAGCAGAAACCGTTAAACGGCAACAGAAAATTCGGATCGTAACTCGTAAGTGGTAAGGAATACTTCTTGTAACGTCAATGTCATTCACCCCAATAACAAAGATATGCCATACCTCTCTAAAAAAGCCTTGAATTTTTTCACGCTGTTTTACGCAAGCTCCATCCGTTAACGAAACTTCTTGCACCACTTGAGCTTCAGCAACTTTAATCTTTTCGACTTGACAGCTGGCTTTGGTGACAAGCGCCTCCATCTCCTGTCGATATTTTGAAGCAGCTTCAGCTACTGCTACACACTTGTGCCCGTTATGATTAAAGGCACAACAGTCTCTACAAATAAGATGACCACAACTTTCGTCGAAAAAGCGGAATTGATCGTTATGCTCCGGACAGAGAACCGATACAGAAGCCAACTGAGGGTTTGCTTTCAGTTCCTTGAAGGTAACAACTCGGTGGTCACGACTTAATTTGCTGCGTTTATGAATCTGAGCTGCAGTTTTGCACATGTTTTCTTTGCAGTCCAAGCAAAAGAACGTTGCTGGGTGTTGTTCATCACAAGCTTCACATTCGTGCGTGCCTGTATGACCTGTATTCCCAGCATGTTGTTTGGGTGCCGTTTCATTCACGATGTCCAGTAATGCAAAATTCTTTGACAGATCATGGACCCCCGAAGGAACGGCAACTGGATTTCTGCATTTGGGACAATCAATGGTGTTACCATGGAGCAGTCTCTCCAGGCAAATCTGGCAGAAGCTGTGTCCACAACTTAGCAACCGAGGACATTTGTTTTCGTCATTGTAATGTTCAAAACAGATTGAACACTCCGGTCCCTTGGCTGCCATTCTCTACAATAGATTAAAAAAAGGTTTTCTTTTTTTTTTTCTTTTTTAAAAAAATAATAATAATAATAAAGTTTTTCACTAATGAATAAAAAGGTAAAATTTAAAGCGACAATAGACTGCAAAACCGTCGATTTTATTCTCAAGTGAGTAAGTTTTTAAGAGTCTCACACGCGCGAGGCAGTCTCTCTCCCCGTTTTCAGCCTCGATCCAGACCTTTTGTTAGACTGCAAGCGACAAAGAATTTAATGGGAATAACTCAGCATACGAGGACATTTGTCTTTGTCATTGGAACCTTCAAAACAGATTGAACACTCCGGTCCCTTGGATGCCATAAATAGTCACAAATTTTTCACATTTCGGAATGAAGAAGTAATTTTCGAAACGATAAAAAATGAGAAAAAAGCCATCTCTCAAATTTGTCACATTTTTGTTGACCCTCTTAAGGTTCATTGCTCGTAGGTGCCATCGACATGATTGTCAGTGTCGTTGACAGTTTTTCTTCCGTCCCCCTAGACTTTGCTTAGTGTCACAGACAGACCATTTATAACATCAGTACAGCAAAATTGTTTTGTTATGCAAACATCAAAGTTTTGTTCATGCACTTATCTCCAACTGGAGTTTGGAAAAATAAATGATCAAATACTATGACATGACTTGGACCAAAAAGACGAAAATTAATGTTTTCGAAGATAAGTCATACAAAAGAAATTACTGGAGCAATAGCTGATTCGCTAAATGTAATGCATTTGATTTTTTACGAACACTTTTCCTAGGCCAAAAGTCGAACTTTCCATGAGATGAACCATGCTGTAATTTGAGTCGACCTAAATTAAGTTACAATCGTCTGTTTTGTCAGACGTCGAACTTAGGACGTGTCGAATCAATCAGATCAGCCACAAATTTTCTCCAGAACGAGGCTAAATATACATTATCAAACAAGTCTTTAATTTTTTAGGGTTTATTAGTCTAGTTCGTCCCCTGTGAAAGATCCACGTTTGTCCCGGAGACGATCTTCAGACCGATAGAACAACGTGTTGGACGATCCGAACTTAACTGAGCCAGAGGTCGAACTTTTCAAAACTTAACTCGGCTAGGTTTGGATCGTCTAATGTAAAGTTCGACGTTTGGTCTAGGCCTTACAGTAACAATAACGAATAAAAGGTGCAATTGCCATTAAAGTCTAAAAGTAATGTCACTGTGAGTGGTGACCTCTATACTACGTGGGACACCTCTCTAATATTTTGCTCCGTCCTTACCGTGTCTATATTAGAGCGGCTTGACTCAGTACTTCATGTCAAGTATAAGTTTCAGTCTGACCTATTGCATAATTGGTAGCGCTTCACACAATACAGAAGCGATATTTTTTCTTTAAGACTGAGCGTCAGTTTGTTTGCCATCAGTGATACTTAAAATTTACTGATGTAACTGCATACAACGCCGGTTACGTCCGTTAAAAGAATGCAGGCGCGGATCCATTCCGGTTTCCACCGTTTTACGGAAATCGGTGACATTTCAGTCATAATAATATATTTTTGATAATAAAGACACTTTCCACGTTGAAATCTGGCCAATATCCTGTCCGAATGACTCGAAAACCCAGGAAAGGGGACTTCAGGAGATAAAATCCAAAAAAATTTCCTGGGGGAGCCCGCCTCCCGACCCTTCTATAAGCTTGCACCGTCGGCGCTCGTTTAGGAAATCGGTCAGTATTAATATTTATCCTCGAGATCCGTGCCTGGAATGCGCACACATGTTTTTGCTAAACAATGTAATACTTCTACTAAAGTGATAACAAATAGTGAAAAGGCTGGTACATTATGAAAAGCCAATGGTTTTTGATATGGTCAATGTGGCTTGAAGCTTTTCCATTCAAAATCTCTCGTTGTTTATGAAATAACTGGATTGAGAAGTCAACTTTCCCGTGTCTAGGTCCATCTAACCACGTAAAGAATGTCATTAACGCGTGAAAATGTAGGAAATATCATGATCCCATTTACTAAATACTAGTGTAAATGTACCGTAAAGTTGCGTACATATTGATGTAAAGCTTACATTTCAATAATAAAGCAATATTTAATCTACAGATCTAAACTCGACTTGGATTTGGAAATGTCCTGTACGAGCTAATCCGGCAGAGCGATAGCAGAGTTAGGTTGAATAGTCGACTCTGCTGCCTTACAATAAACTTTGCCTTGCAGTATTTTAATAAAAGAAGTTGTACGTACCTTTTGTAAAGTAAAAGGCTCACCGAAACTACGTGTAAGAACCTTTTTGTCGAATATTTCTCCACCGTCTGCACTTCCGCCTTGTTGTCGCGAACGGACTTAATGGCGCTGTTGGCCGAGAGGGCTTGGTACACTAAATTCCAGTCCTCACTCCTCTTAATCACTCCTCAATCCTGAATTTCTACTTCCGTCTCGGTGGTTTCCAGCCCTCGCCCCTAGGCCACTCAATAGGCACCTTACGATCCGACAACGGCGACACCTCGAAGACACCTCGAAGTCCGGAACTGGAGGTCCGGGGTTCAAGCCCCGCCCGTCGCTTCCTTAGACAAAGAACTTTACTCCACTTTGTCTCTCTTCTCTCAGGTGTATAAATGGGTACCTGCGTCATACTGCTGGGGGATAACCCTGCCATGGACTAGCATCCCGTCCAGGGGGGAGAAGCAATACTCCTAGGCATGCTTCTGCTAAGGAAACCGGGATAAGTTCCGGCCGTTTGGGCCTTTGGCTCGTGTGCGCCTTTGTTTTTTATGTAATAGTCTTATAAATTAGTTCAGAAGACCCCGGTTTATAAGTAGTGTCTGTATTACTAAGCAGGCTGCCAGAATGAAACGTCAGGGACAGATGTTTTTATCGATGTGAAAAGCAGACATTTTCACGGGAAAACGTTGTTTTATTCTGTAATTGTAACAAGTTCATCCTAAAGAAATCTCACAATCATTTATCAAAGTCTAATATAGTCTATTACCTTTTAAGAATTAAGCGAGCCGTGATTTTAGAAAAAAAAATATGTGGCCTTTTCATCGGGAGGACAGACGAAACTGTTTGTAATAAACGGACGTCCACCAAGCGGGGATCCACCGTATCAGCAAAAATTGCACTCTGCTAGTATAAAAGTGCAAGTCGGAAGTACCACAGATGGCGTGTTATTTTGTGCCTATTATTCTAGAGATGCAGAACATTATCATAGTTTTTGCTAAGCCTTAGTTTTAAAACTTCTACAGAAATCCACAACAAAAGCAAATACCAATTTCATGCCAATTAATTACACGTAATTGATGGCATTTATAGCCATGTGCTTACTAAATAAAACAGTATGAAACAGTATAAATGTGATCCGCGTTGAATCGAATGACAACATGTAGCCCGGATCGTTTTGTCTAGATCTATAACCCAGGCAGAGTACAATTTTCATTGGTTATTAATAATATTTATCTACCTAGACAGGCAAACAAAGTGCCTATTTAATAAAGAGTCTTAGCTAGTCTTATATATGGATAATTACACCAAAAGAATAATCGTATCTAAAAACTAACCCTAACGAATCGAGACTGAGAGAACTTTTAAAATTTTCAGTTCACACTCTTCCCTCAACCAATCCCCGGGTCTAGAGCTTTATCCAGCCTCGTCTAGCCTATCTTTAAGATATATATCTATGACAAAATTAAATCCTTAAGGTATATAAATACGACAAAATTAAATACCCTAAACTGAGTGAAAAGGGATAAGCCAAACATGACATATACCGTGTCAAAGCCAGTAAAAAAAGAGCCATGATTGTAAAAGGAAGAAATTCTGAAAGGGGTAATATCAAATAGGCATCACACGCAAAAAGGCATCTCGCTGACGGAAAGGCATCACACAAAAAGGCATAACGCTTAAATGCTTCACGCATGAGAAAGGCATCACGCAAAAAGCCGAAACAAAAGCACTAATCGGTAACTGCCTCGTACCCAGACGTCTCTCTCGCGCGCGCAAAGGAAGGCGGGAAGGGAAAAACGGGCTTCACCTGATGTCTGTACCCTTCCCATGATCCCCTGCGGCTCATTACCAGTCGTGCGCCTCTACCTTGCGAAAAACGAAGCGCCTGTGGAGGAGGCTGAATCGGTAATGTAACAAGAGTTTTCTTTGCCCCCTTTCCAGGCCCTTAATGAAATGTGCTTTGTATGTCTGGTGCAACTCCATTGCGCCATCCATTAGGTGTTCTATGCACTTTATGGTGTGAGTGTACCCTTGGACTCTGCAACGACTATAACTTGTACCAGATTACGTTCAGCCGCATTTGTGCCCTACTCTAAACCAAAAACACAATTTTTTACTATTTCCCAGACTCCCATTGCATACTGCAAACGTTTGCATCCCAAACTGTTTGTCAGCAACAAGACATATTCAACACGGACCACAAACAAGGGTCCAGTCGTCCTCGTATGTATAAGCCAAGCAGCCGGGAACGCAGAGAGCACTATAACCACGAACTCGCATACTGTCTTCAGGACGGAACGGTTCATTACTGTTTATGTAGAAATTCATTTTCCTATTTTTCTTACCACATGCGTAGCAGCGTACTTCACCAATGGGTGGATTCTCCACAACCACGTAAAAGCACTGACAGCGACATTTGACCCTTTGTGCCTGTGGGGGCTCTATAAATTCCCTGATAAGTACCGTTGCCTTGGTCAATTAAATTTACTTTCACACACTTCTTATCATCTGTCTGGAGGTTCACTACAAAGATGTCGCCGCCAACCCCAAGTAAACGTCCTTGGTAATCACGTGCAGATATGGTAAAAAAGGAATCTTTTCCCATCGGTGCAATAAACAATCCCGAGCCTACCGCTTTTGTAGTAGTTGCACAGGCAGAAGGCCTTATTAATTCACCTGCGAATTGACAGTCCTTCTGTGTTTCAAGTGGTTGTTGGCTTTTTATGTCCTCCAGCAGAGTCTGTAAATCCGACATGGCGACAAGGAACTCAGCACTCCCTGACGACTGAATGATGGATCTTGCATTATTTACAGCACCTTCTAGATTGGTTTGAAATGTGTGCAAACGATCACGCTGCCTTGTGAGAGTGGCATCTTCGGTATTGTTGGCATGGTAAAGGTCATTCATTAAAACTTGTTCTCTTGTAGCGAGTGCAGATTAAAGCTACAAGGTAGTATGCATAACATCTAATGGTGAGAAGCTAATTCAATCTGTATGGAAAGACCAGTGAGATGTTTCCTCAAATGGGAAAAAATTCACTTTATTTGCCAGGGTGTGAATGTATGAAGAACGGTGAGCTCGAGTACTAACGCAGAGGCCCTAAGTTCGAATCCCGTTTTCGGTAAATTTAAAATTGCTGAAATTGTCGCACGGGGATATCGCTGTTCGTGCTTCCTTGGCTCCAATCAGATTATTGCCTGTCAAAAACGTAATGTTCCGTGCCACATTTCAAATTTTGGGTGCGTTCCTTTGCGATGATGCGGATCAGGATCAGAGATCCAAGATCACTCGGATCGTGGTAGAACAAATGAATCGATGAATCGTTCCTTGTCCAGAGTGGATTCATCAACTCAAACGTTTCAAACTAAATTTCAGACCATAAAACGCGTTCTTTTAAAATCAGAAAGTGTAGCTTGAATTTCAGCCGTCCCTTCAAGTCGCATACTCCCTAGCATGCGATCATGCCCTCTCCCTTTATCTCAGTAATCTGTTTATTTTTTTCCTTCTCGACCCAAAGAAGCAAAGAAGCAAAAAATAAATAAAAATAACGCCTGATCTCAGGTTACATACTCCTGAAAGGGATGTCCGAATCAACGAGCCGCGAAAAGCCGTCCAGTCGTCTCTTTCGGGAGGAAAGTATGCGACTCGAAGGGACGGCTGAAATTTCGACAACAGAAATTGCTTGTCTGACGTAACTGCAAGCAATACAAGCTCTAAACTGATTTGGATAGTGCAGTCGTTTTTAATTGCTATATAGGAATTGTAGCAAGAGTTAAGATGAAGCCGTTGCAATTGTAAGCCGCAAAATCAAAGAAGAAAGTGCCTGTTTGCAGCAATGGAAAGAAAAACTAGTTCCACAGTTCAACAAGAGCAATTGAGGTTTGCTATATCAAACGTCATCAGACCTTCAGATAAGGGGGGCGGTCATCCAGACCCTGAGATAAGGGGGGACCCGGTCTGAAAAAAAAATTTTTTTCGGCCCTTCGGGCCTCAGTTTGGTCCAAAAATAAGGGGGGCCAGGGCCCCTCCCGGGCCCTTCCCCTGGATCCACCACTGACAAGGGCTGCCTTGAATGTGAGCACCTCTTAAGAGTACTCTCCATGTGTGATAAAATTTTACAGGAGCGCGCTTTCCATTCAGTCCAAAATTCCGGAAATCAGGTTAGAAATCAAGCGGAACGGACCATTTTGGTTAGGTCCGACCGGAATATTTTGGACCACCTTCAAAGGTGGTCTTTCACCGGTCTGCTCATTTCGGTCGGTCCGGACCGAAATGTCCCTTTCCATTTCTTAAATTGTTGTCCCCAGTACCGCTCTTTTTTATCTTGCTTACAAGAAAAATAATTAAAACCGCGGTCGCTTGAGTCAGGTCTGTACAACTGGAATGTACCGTTCCCTAAGCAGGTTGAATTTCGGAAATTTTCAAACCAGAATTTTTTTTTTTGATAGGAAAGCGCCATAGGACTATGTTTAAAATAGCTCTATTCAAATTGCTGAAAACCAGAATGCAATTTTTCTGTCTTACCTGAGCTATTAATGAGTCTAAATACTTCACATTCAGATAATGGTTTAAGGTACCAGACCATGATTCAGTACTGTTACTTGAAATATCCAGTCTGCTACACAGCAGTTCTTTGTGTCGTCACGCAATGCTCGAGGAGCGTTGACACAAAGAACGGCCGTGTACCAGACTATGAATACTGTCTTGCAATCTTGACGATAGTCCATCAAGCTTAACATGAATGGTTTTAACCCTCTCAACAAATTAAAGAATCCTCCCTCGTGGTTAGCAGATGTCAATTTATCCCTAAACGTCCTAATCCGTTGAAACAGAACCTCATGGTCTTGTTTCAAGAGCCCCTTCATATTACGATAGCTAAGAATAGATTCTTCTTATTAGAACTGCCCCTACTAATAAAGTTCCCGAGAAACTCTTGATGTGCAGTGGATCATTGAGGGTTGCAAGTACATGTAACTACTTATACGTTGGTCTTAGTAATAATAATAGTAATAATAATAATAATAATAATATAATCAATGATAATAATAAATAATTTTTTCGAATACGTATATTTTTAATGGAATGAATTTTTTCAATCGAAATTAAGTGTCTTTTTTTTTAATCGAAAGGAATTGTAAATAGTGCTTTGACTGAATAGCTTTTTAAGTGAAATTAATTTCAAATAGTATTTTATAGTTAGCTTTGTTATCAATAAAATAATTTGGGTTATTATTATGATAATAATAAAAATAACATTGTTAATATTATTATTATTATTATCTCCTTTATCACAGTCTTTGCTGGTGTCCTTTTTGTGCATCAGGCGGGCGCAAACCATGCACCTAGAGCGTCAGTCACTCAAGTCAATCATTCTGTTCATACACTGAGCACCTTTCTGAGGATTCGCGCAGATCCCAGCATGCAGATCTTTTGAATCTCTGTCATAGTAGCTCTCTCTGATACTTTCTTGATGTTTTCTACCATACCCTTCTTCACTGTACCAAGCGCACCAACAACCACAGGGATCACTACGGTTTTCATATGCCACACGCCTTACTAGTTCGTCGATATGAGCGGAATTCTTTGTATTTCTAGTTCTAGGTCTTTGTACTTGCTTTTTTTTTCAGTTTCCTTCAGTGCGGTGTTTCTATCTGATGGAACAGTCATATCAATCAGTTTGCAGGTGGAATTCACTGAATCTTTGACGATGATGTCTGGTCTGCTCGCTGTTATAGTTCTATCAGTATTGATTGGCATGTCCCACATGATGGTGATGTTGTTATCTTTATTGTGCATCACGGTCTCTGGCCCTTGTTCGTACCATTTGTCTGTAATCTCTAAATCATGATCTTTATAGATGCTCCAATGGAGATATGCTGCAGCATTATTGTGCCTGGAGATGTACTCTGTTTTCGCTAATATCTCACATCCAGATACAATATGGTCCACTGTCTCTTTACTTGCGAACACATTTTGCTCTCCACTTGCTGGCCACATATTACTTTCTGGTAGTTTCTGGTGTTTACTGCCTAGTCTTGAGCTGCTACAAGTAGTCCCTCTGTTTCTCCTTTCAAATTACTTGATTATTATTATTATGATTATTATTATTGTCATCATTATCATAATTATCATGGAGCCCACTCACCTTAGCGGTTTTCAGTGGGGTCCTGCACTGAATAAATGACAAACTGAATCAAATAAATCAATAATACTAATCGCCTACCGAAGAAATAAAAACTAAAAGAGGCTAAATAGATATGTACATTTAAAAATGATTTTAAAATGGAGCTAAGACTAATCTAAAAAGTTTATTGCTTTGCTTAAAAAAACAACAAAGATTTGGCGTTTTAATGTCATTCGTCTAGATTGTCTCAGACTTGTCCTCAAACACTTCCCGAAGTACTTCCTTACACTCGTTGTGAAGCGTGTTCAAAAACTTCCATCGGTCGCAGACAATTTTGACATCTGAGTCGGTTCTTTGGTCTCGCTTTCCTGGTTCTGGTTTGCTTTCTAGGGCATTTTCCAGCTCGGATTTTGCATTCAATATGCAAATATGGAGCTCATCGCTGCCTGAGGTCTGAATGGCTAACTCTGCGCGCTGTTTGACACTCTCTAGGACAGTCTTCCATGAGCGCAGGCGTTTCAGCTGCTCTTCAAGGAAGTCCACCTCAGGCTTGAAGATTTGGTTGACATCAACTTTTAGATCGTGTTCTCTTGTAGAGAGGGCACCGTGCAGCTGCCATAACAAACAAATCAGTGATCACATCTAATCTCAGGCATTTTTTGTACGACAAATTAAGGTGAGTGTTATAATACAACGTCATAGCCAAAGTGTTGGAAGTAAATGCTTTTTATCTCAGCAAACTACAGCTGAAACTATGAATCCAGAAAGCTGCGAAAAATTTAGCGTAGTATTCTTGCCTTTTTTTCAGCACTTGGATTTTTAAAAATCGATGCCTTCATCGCTATTCCCCGCGCTTTGCGAGCACGCTGGCAAAAGTAAACTATGGATAAGTTCACTTGTCACCGGGCGATTTTAAAATTCTTTCGTTTAGGTGTTCCGTTCAATTGGAACCATCTTAATTTCGTGACTAGCCGTTCAAAACTTTGAACGCCAAAATCAAGGGTTTTTTTTAGTGGATGCGGTCGAAAATGTGGCCGGCAAGGTGTGAATACAATAACCATGGAGGCGTTGTAAATCTGCCTTGGATTTGCTAAAGGACCTAAACAGGGGTACCCAACGTCAATTTTCGGAAAATATCTGTTCGGAAGACGATTTGAGATCTAGAATTTTCGGAACATTTGTTGTAAAATTTCTTGCTTGCCTCCCTCTTCTAGGATTTTTGAACATCTAAAAAATGGTATAATTGCCCATTTTTAACGGATTTTTACCCTAAAAAGGTCACCTAACTATATTCGGGAGCCCTTTTTCTGGCTGAAAGTTTCGGAAAGGTAAGTTTTGATCCTTATAATGTTTGGATCACTAGATTTTCAGCTAGGAAATCCGAACAAATGAAAAATTTTGAGGGGATAAAAATATGCCTATATCTACCGTTTAAATACTAAAACACGTTCAACTATGCTATGTTTAAGTGGTTTTGAACTATATTCTCGTTGGGTGCCCCTGCCTAAAGCATAGCACTCTGTGCATGGGCAGATGGTCAAACCACTGGAAGTTAAAACTCAACCTGGTTTGTCAGTTTCGGGTGAAAAGATTCTGAAAAAAGCGAAAATATTGAGCGCATCAGTGTAAACAAAGTGCCCAGTTAAACTTTTCGACCGGTTGAAAATTCGTCCGCTGCCGTTGGAACCCGGGGAGTGAACGCAAAATTTCGCAAATTTCCATATACGCGATATTCTTATAAAATATATTCTTATCAAAAAGAAAGATTGTAACAAGACTAAGTCAACCTAGATAACCCAAACAACACAATAACGAAGTGACTCTAACAGACCTCTTTGAAGAAGCTTTGAATGTCCGTTAGCCCCTGTTCATGAGCTCTTTTCAGTTCCGAACACGTCTCCATCTCTTCATCTTCTATGACCTTAGCTTCACCAAGAAGGATGTTGGTCTCTTCGATTAAATCTTCCACTTCCGGTTGGTACTTAAAGGCAGCTTCAGCTAATGGTAAACAAACGTGACCAAAGTGTTCTACAGCGATGCATTCCCTACAAACAACACAACCGCACCGTTCATCGAAAAACCGGAATTTATCGTTGTGTTTTTGGCAGATGAGGGATACAGAAGCGAGCTGAGGGTTTGCTTCCAGCTCTTCGAGGGAAACAACCCGATGGTCACGACTTGCCTTGTTGCGAGTATGAAACTGAGCTGCAGTTTTGCACATGTTTTCTTTGCAGTCAAGGCAGCAGAAATTTGCAGGATGTTTCTTATCGCAAGCTTCACATTCGTGTGAGCCCTTACTTCTATTCCCTGCTAGCGAAGGCCTCTTTTCTCTGGTATTTGGCAAAACATGTTGTTTGGATGTCGTTTCGTTCACGATGTCCAGTAATGCAAAATTCTTTGACAGGCCATGGACCCCAGATGGAACGACAACTGGATTTCTGCATTGGGGACAATCAATGGTGTTACCACGGAGTAACCTTTCCAAGCAACACGAGCAGAAGCTGTGTCCACAACTCAGCAACCGAGGACATTTGTTTTCGTCATTGAAACGTTCAAAACAGATTGAACACTCCGGTCCCTTGGATGCCATTGTCTATAAAACATAAAGAGTCCAAAATTTTTCACATTTAGGAATGAAGAGGTAATTTTCGAAATGATTAAAAATGAGAAAAAAGCCATCTCTCAAATTTGTCACATTTTTTTTTGACCCTCTTAAGGTTCATTGCTGTCTTAGCTCGTAAGTGCCATCGACATGATTGTCAGTGTCGTTGGCAGTTTTTCTTTCGTCCCCCTGGACTTCGCTTAGTCTCACAGAGAAACCATTTATAACATCAGTACAGCAAATTGTTTTGTTATGCAAACATCAATGTTTTGTTCATGCACTTTTCTCCAATTGGAGTTTTAACAAAAAAAATTTAATGATCAAATACTATAACATGACTTGGACCAAAGAAATGAAAATTATTAGTTTAGTTCGTCCCATGTGAAAGATCGACGTTTGTCCTGGAGACGATCTTCAGACGGATAGAACAACGTGTTGGACGATCCAAACTTAACTGAGCCTGAGGTCGAACTTTTCAAAACTTAACGCGGCTAGGTGCAGTTCGTCTCATGTAAAGTTCGACGTTTGGTCTAAGCCTTACAGTAACAATTACGAATAAAAGGTACAATTGCCAGTACAGTCTAAAAGTAATGTCACTGTCAGTGGTGACCTCTATACTACGTATACTACGTGTTGCATAATTGGTAGCGCTTCTCACAATACACAAGCGATCTTTCTTCTTTAAGACTGAGCTTCAGTTTGTTTCCCATGTGATACTTAAGATTATCTAACTGCATACAACGTGGGTTACGTCCGTTGAAAGAATGCATGCGCGGATCCACACCGGTTTCCACCGTTTTACGGAAATCGGTGACATTTCACTCATAATAATACATTTTTAATACACTCTTTTTTTTTTATAAGAATATATTTTATAAGAATATCGAGGCTGAAATTTGCGAAATTTTAAGAATATTTTAAGAATAAAGCCAAGGCTGAGATTTTAAAAAGGGTAGATATACTTTTGTGTGCTGAAACATCTGTAAATACAATACAATTTTATGTTTTTAACTTAACCGTATAAAATTATTCCTTTCTCTGAACGGCGAAACTAGCCGAGAAAACGAAAAAACCCGCACTAGCTATAGCAAAATGTTCAACGCTAATGACAGTTCGATGAACGGTACATGTATTACATATACATATACCCCTATAAATTCTAAAACGAAAATGTCATAAGCTATAATTTAAGAATAATACAAGAATATTCTCAGCCTAAAATCGGCAGAAAAATAAGAATATTCAGCCTGGGCCGGAAAAACAACATTCTTATAAAAAAAAAAGAGTGTAATAAAAACACTTTCCACGTTGAAATCTGGACAATATCCTGTTCGAATGACTCGGAACCCAGGAAAGGGGACTTAAGGAGTAAAAATCCAACAAAATTTCCTGGGGGAGCCCGCCCCCCGATCCTTCTAGAAGCTTGCACCTTCGGCGCTCGTTTAGGAAATCGGTCAGTATTTATCCCAGAGATCCGCGCCTGGAATGCGCGCACATATGTTGGCTAAACAATGTGATACTTCTCATAAAGTGATAACAAATAGTAAAAAGGCTGGTACATTATGAAAAGCCAGTGGTTTTTGATACAGTCAATGTGGCTTGAATTTTTTCGATTCAAAATCTCTTGTTGTTTATGAAATAACTGAATTGAGAAGTCAACTTTCCCGTGTCTAGGTCTATCTAATCACGTAAAGAATGTTATTAACGCGTGAAAATGTAGGAAATATCGTGATCTCATTTACTAAATGCTAGCGTAAATGTACCGTAAAGTTGCGTACATATTGATGTAAAGCTTACATTTCAATAATAAAGCAATATTTAATCTACAGATCTAAACTCGACTTGGAAATGTCTTGTCGAGCTGATCCGGCAGAGCGATAGCAGAGTTAGGTTGAATAGTCGACTCTACTGCCTTACAATAAACTTTGCCTTGCAGTATTTAAATAAAAGAAGTTGTACATACCTTTTGTAAAGCAAAAGGCTCACTGAAAGTAAGTGTACGAACCTTTTTGTCGAATATTTCTCCACCGTCTGTACTTCCGCCTTGTTGTTGTTGCACGGACTTAATGGCGCTGTTGGCCGAGAGGGCTTGGTACACTAAATTCTAGTCCTCACTCCTCTTAATCACTCTTCAATCCCGTCTCAGTGGTTTCCAGCCCTCGCCCCTAGGCCACTCAATAGGCGCCTTACGATCCGACAACCGCGACGTCCATGAAAACATCGCTGAAAAATAGACTTCGCATCCTTTTTCGCGATTATACCAATTCGCCCTGTTACTTAGAAGAGGGGAATTTTGGTTGGAGCTGAAGAGAAGGGACCGCGCCCGAGTTCAGACAGAGATGGTAGAATTCATCGCCTTGCCGTTCCCGTTCTCAAGTAAACTTAAAATTTGGTCATTTAATTTCACGTCGTAGTTGTGCAGGGACAGTAAAAAAGTGTACAAAAAAGCGTGATGCACGTGCAGAGTTGCTTTTTTGCTCATTAAACCAAGAGAGAATGAGATCATTCTCTCTTGGGAATACTCAGTTTAAACTAGTAATAATTGCAAATTAGGGGAGTGCGTTCGATGGGGATGGGGAGGGTGGTGGGTTGTGAGTGGTAGTGAGAAGGGGGTGCAAAGCCTAATGGGCTTGTAATATCGAGAAATCAAAATCAAACACCTTTATCAATATGAATATCAGCAGCTGTCTTTATCAGTGTTATTGTTTGTCCTCCCACTTTACAATTCGTTACTATTTCATCAGTTTCCTCTAAAATGCAAGAGCGTACTGTACTTTTTACATTTAATAGGCTAAACCTCTAAGTAAAGTACATTTAAGTAACAACAGGTCAAACACTGACTATGATACTCAGCATATTCTTTTGCACTATAGGATGATCAATAAAACTGGCTAAAAATTGGGTAGCCTGCGAACCGCAGACGCATTTCCGGTCGAAGCGACGACCGGAAATGCGTCTGCGGTTCGCAGGCTAAAAATTGGGATACAGAAAATTGAAATTATCTGAAAAGTGTAAGCGTCGCGTATCACTTTAAACCTTTGTTGAGTGACACTAGGCTAACACGACTCACCTACTTAGCACTGTTTTCAAAATACAACGCACCCGGAATTAGTGAGATGAAAAGGTCGACGTTTCACTGTTCAACTTCTTGTATATTTTTCAAAAATGGTGAGAAACAAGAGCAAATACAACGCTGTAAATAGCTTTTAAAAGCGAAAAGATGTAATTTGTAATAGAATCAAATATGGTCGATCTAAGCTGATCTTGCTTGAATCCATAAAAACAAATACAGTGTGCAGAACACATTGTTAACATAATATCTACATATACGATTATCTTAGAATGGAAATTTTCCTATGATAAAAAAGCTTAATTGAAAACTGCGAGAAAAACTGTAAGCAGACCTGTGGTAAACAGAAAATCGCCAACGTTTCATCTGTGAACGAGTGTCACAAAATAGATACCAGCTCCCGGGCGGGAAAAACTGAACACGTGAGATCGAGGCTAAGTGTGCCAGGCCGGTCCAAGATGGCGTCCAAACCGTGAAATCGCATGGCATAAAGAACGGTTACTATTTCATGTACGGTACACGAATAGTAGGCGTTCTCCTTCGTCGAACGCAAATATTATTTCACCGAAATTTATCACATAAACCAATCGCACAAATAGAAAACTTTTTCTCACATCGTGTACCACTGGTATGAGTTGCATTACGTAAATCAACACTTTTATGACTTGAACAAGGGGCTTGTATTCAACAATTCTCTTTGTGCGAGTTGCGCCGCCTGCATAAAAGGTCTAACCTGCCTTGTTTCCGGATACCCCCTCGTCATATTAAAATGACAGGAAGGAGAAAGCGAGCAAGGCCTTTTCTATCTTCTTCTCGTGGTCCCTCGCGCTGCGTTAAAACTAATAGTCAGGTTTTTGCATGAATTCATGCCATGGACTTTGGTTCGTCACATGACGAAGAGGTTTAACACTTTGTACAGCAAAAGGGCTGCCTTTAATGTGTGCACCTCGCAAGCACACGGACAATGTCAATTTACCATACAACTTGTCGACAGTATATTCTGCCAAGTAAGTTCCATCCTTTCGGTCGTTTAAATCTACCTTTATTTCGTCTCCTCCCACAGCTGGCTTCAGTTTCACCTCATACACGTCACCACCGAGCTTGCGTTGACAGTTTTGTATGTCGCGAGAAGTAATAGTGAATGTCGCCTTCCTTCCAGGGATTGCAGTTGTTATTCCCGGGCCAGTTGCAATGGTGTTTGCTGCATAGGTTGATATGTCATTGATGTCGCCAACTCTCTTGATAGCTTCCTCTATACTCATTTTGGGATGGTGAGAAGATGACTGAAAGAGATCGTTGCAGTAAGTCCCTGCCAATTTTATATTCCTTACAAATTCAATTTTTAAAAGCCTATTAATCTTTCACTTGATATTCTGTTTCTTAGCTGTTTTATTTAATAATACTGAAATCAAATGAAGAATGATTCTCGCAGTTGTGAACGCAATTAATGCAATTGCGTAAGAATCCTGAAAAAAAATTCAGAACTTTAAAGGGATTTGAACCCGTGACCACGCGATACCGGTGCGATACTCTAACCAACTGAGCTATGAAGCCACTGATGTTGGGAGCTGGTAAATTATGTGTTGTTATGTTCTCGTGAAAGGCTAAGAATGATAGAGATGTATAAGAAATAAATCATATAAGAACTGCGGAAATGAAACAAAAAATCTTTCACGGGAACATATGAACACATAACTGACCAGCTCCCAACATCAGAGGCTTCATAGCCGTTCTTATATGATTTATTTCATGTACATCTGTCAAATAAATTGACTTGCGACAACCACATTTTTTTCTTAAAAGCAACTATTAAATGAGTTCGTAAAAAAATATATTTGTGAACTGAGAAATGCATTTGGTGTGTGTACTCTAATAGATCATTGGCAAGGACCAATCACTGTGCGTAAAGCTGGCCCACGCATCGTCTTAACCATTGGTATAGTCTGAATAAAACGGACACAATCGTAGACTTTCTTCAGATGATCTTCAAGATTATAATTCAAAACCTTCAGACTAGCAATACAGCTTCTCAGAATAACAAGTAGAGACAAATTCAGAAAACATTCAGAATCTTCGAGCAAAAGAAAAGTTCGTGAGGGGTGGGATTTTCCCACAACGAAAACACCTGATACTGACGCCATACTGAGTCCTATATAGTTTCCCACATAGTCTATACAAGCGGTGTGGAGTGACTGCGACATAGGCAACGCACGTTGCATCTACCATATTGTAAAAAGAGATATATAATATTTCTCCATTTCTGATTGGCTCAAATCGTCGGCAAATTCTTCAGAACTACTGTAGTTAGCGTTGACCAGATTTAGACGACGTTTGCGATATCCCCAAAAAGAGGTATCAATGGTGCAGGATAACTGCAGAAAAAGGTAGAAAACCGTGAAGCCCTGGGGAAGAGGTTGTATTTGCTCAGCTCAGGCTCTTTTGGTAGAGCTGAAGAGAAAGGCGGAAAATTTCACACTTTTTGCGAAATAGAAATATTTTAACTGCGGCCTAAAAACATACCAAGAACAGGACTAAATACTACTCGACGAATATGGTCCCAGATCGGCGCTTTGTGCAGCTCCTTCTCTCTTAAAGAAAAAAGTCTGGGACCAAGGTAGATAACTGACTGCTACCGTAACATTCCGAAAATAAGCCCCTCCAAATATAAGCCCCCCAAACTCGTAACGCAAAAAAGCCTCAGTTAAATCTCAGTCTCTCCGAATATAAGTCCCCGGGGGCATGTACTTGGAAATTGCCCTCAAATACAAAGTAAAGCAAAGCATAATATAAATTTTTGTATTTCCCAAAGAACCATTAAGGGTGCCAAACGATTGCAGTCAGAACGTGTCACAGTTAATTGCTGTTTGCGTAGTTAACTCTTCACTCTTGGCTTGGATTTCCTCGGTCCATATAGACAAAGTACTTGCATGGCTGCGTTTTAGAAAGGTCTACGTCCTCAAGGCAAGTTTCAGTAAAACCTTTCTGCAAATTACTGACATAGATTTCCTTTCAACTATAAGCTAGCCCAATCGATTTTCAGACAGCAATTTCCTTCCTTATATAAGCCCCTCCGAATGTAAGCCCCTCAAAAACGGCCTTTGAAAACTACAAGCCCCGGGAATTTCACGGTATTTGAAGAATATCTGCTAGAATATTCATCCCAAACAAAAGAATGGCGCCCGAAGAGAACCGTTAGTCTGGTCCCAGGCTAATTTAGAGTAAGTCAAAATTTGAATTCTTACCATTCTATTCTTTTTTTCCTTGGTGAATTCCATCAAAAACTGTGCCTCTGGCTCAAGCACCATTGAG